AGTTTTTTTTCTTTTAATAAGTGTAATCTTCAAGTACTTAAGTATTAGTTTATTCTACCTGCAGTGATACAATCTGTGCCTACCCCATTAAACTTTCTTCTGTTTCCCCCATTTATTTGCTTACATATATTCTATGTTTTATCAGTGAATATTACCTATGTGCATTGCTTTTTGCTATTTTTGTATACCCAAGTCATTGAGTGTATTTTGGGAACCTGCTTATTTACCATTAATTACCAAAATTCCTTGTGAAGTTAATTAATTTTTGACCTTGAGATTGTGAAATTTTTTCTTTTTGCCAGTGTACCCCCTGCTAACACCAGTCAACCTTTGCCATATTCTTGAGTTTAATAATTTGCTTTTTTATTAATTTTATTTTGTGTGCATATAGCAATTCTGGAAAACAGTGAATTTTTTTTTTCCCGTGATTTTTGGCACTTTTTCCCTACTCTGATATCTTTTCGTGCCAACTTCCCTTGTGCAAGTGAATTACCCTTTTTTTTTGCGTTTTTAATTTGCAACTGCTAGCACCCGCAATCTTTTTTAAAATGTGCTTGCAGCACAGTTTAGTGTTGTGTAGTACCTGATTTATTTTAATTTTGTGCAGTTTTTGCTACCAGTGTTCAGTTCAACTCCTTTTCATAATTTTGTTGCCAGATTCCTGGTGAAATTATTGACTATCCCTTTGCTTCATTTTGTGCACTTCCCTGTAGTACATTCACTTGCATACATCTCTTATTTGTGTTCAGAGTGTATCACTATTTTTCCCTTTTATTGTTGTTTTTTCTCAAAAATTTTTCTACACTAAGCAGTTTACCTAGTACTGTGGTGCTGAGTTCTCTTTGACTCTGTTTTGAATTGTAGCCAGTGATACATTTCTTGCTCTGACCTGTTTACCATTTTTCGTGCCCTAATTGCATTTGAACACTTGACGTCATGACTAGACACGCAGTGGCCATGCCGTTAGTCCAGATCTGCTGGTGCCAGCAATGGTGCTCAGCCAGCGTGAACACGCGGCAGGGCATCGAAGCCCCAGCGACAGTTGGTCAACTTGTGGCTCAAGCCTCGACCACCAGTGGGCCGGCTCATCGTCCATACCTGACCCTTATTTTTGACGGTCATGCAAATAGTTTAGAGCCATGGCTGCGTCAGTCAGACGACTGTTCAGGCTCTTTTTTGATAGTCCAACGGATACACAGTTCTTTCGTGCTGCTGTTGCAGCAGGGGGATCTCACCCAGGGTGATTAGGTGCCTTTGTGCCAGCTAAGCGCGTTTGTAAGATTCAGTCTTGGGGTTGAACTTAAGGAGGAATTTAGGCGTTATTTTTCGGCGTAGTCGCCAACGCCATTACATTGACATCTTTTCCAGCGTCTTGGCGAATGTCAATACCGGCACGAAAGCCCCCTGGCTTGCGTTTGCCGGTTCGAGAAAAGCGCCATGGACTTTACTGATGCCATAAACTCCCATAAGTGGGGGGGATGGTGATGGTCGTATTGCTGCTAAAGACATCATCCCCATGCTGGCTGTCGGCATCATGCGGAGGGATGCCGCCCCTAACCTCGGGCTGCCTTTGATGCGCTAGGACTTCGGCCCTCAGCAGGGACGTCCTGGGTGCATATGACCCCATCGACTCGCTCAACCCCACTTCCGAGCAAGGCAAGGTTTTGCCGCTTTGCGGATGATCCCCTACCCATCCTTCCGGCGCCGTCCACAGTGACCCCGCGGTCGCAGCCGGAAGTCACTTTTGTTTGCTGCTGTCAGACAGCCAGCCCCAAAGTTTCTAACCCCAGTCCCAAACACGCGCCTAAGTAAAATATTGACCACAGTAACAACAGTCGGTCTCATACAAAAAGGCAGTCATCGACTTCCTGGACCAGGGCGAAACGTCGCCAGCAGACACCACCCCCCAAACCTTTACCCGTTAAGCGTGTAGTGACTTGTTTCAACTGTGGCAAACGAGGGCACTACCGATCGGAGTGTTACAAAACCTAAGTCCCCGCAAAGTAACCGTCACAGTCCCCATGCTCAGTATCCCAGTAACCATAACAGTCCCCATGCTCAGTATCCCAGTAACAATAACCGTCCCCATGCTCAGTATCAAGGTAACCGTCACCGTCCCATGCTCAGCTTCGCGAGGGAGTCTGTGTTTACCACAATACTTCCAGTCATACCTCCCATGAGTGTAACAAGCTGCGAAGTTATACTGTCAGCTGAGTGGAGCAAGCAGTTCATCGCGCAATGCACGTGCTCGTAGAAGCCCTTCCACTAGTTCGGGGGAAGAGGCGCGTCCACAAAACCAGCGAAAGACATAGTAACCCTGTCGGAGTCGCTGTATTCCGTCCCCGTCCGCAATGCATTCGCCGCCTGGGCATGATACGCTTTCCGACAGTGAGGAACAGAGTGTCTTGACGTTGTTGCCGAGACTCGTACCGTACCTTCCGGTCCCAGCCTCGTCAACAGTGTTCGAGCCTCGAGCAGCTGTGACTCCCGGGGGTCTCGT